GGTTGTTTTCTGAGACGATACCAGTACGTTTTAAAGAAATCTGTGTGATCATGCTTGTGCGACAGGAGGTAAAAATCAAGTAGCATTTCCGTATTGCAACGTCAGAAATCACCAGTTAGACGATAATTATTTCTAGGGCAATATCCAAAGGAAATGCATACTGGATGTCTTAGTGATGAATAGATCTTAGATCCGTTAAGTGATCTGATTCGTTCTTGGCTAGCCTTAGCTATTTCAGAATATAAGTAGTCCTGTATTCATGATGTGATGTGTAACACTGCTACTTACGCGAGTTAGTTGAAGTCGCTCTTTTTACCGTCTCGAGTTTCAGTTGAAAGCATGGATTGATTATATGATCAACCGTGACCAGCTATAGCCAGAAACTATAAAACGAAGTTCCACAAGTAAATCGTTTAGTATTTTAATTTGCTGATCTCCGTTCGTTTGAGTCAAGACTATGATGTTGTAGTAGGTCCACACCAATGACTAGCGACGAAACGTCTGCAACAATGACGGTCCAGCAAATAGGTTTGCGCAGACCCATGTCAAGATAAAAATATCTCTTACTGCATGTGGTGGTTGGTTTTCCATCTGCCTCCTGTAAGTTGAAGACCAGTGCTCGTTGAAGATAATCAACATTCGCGAGAAAGACTAAATTCTGTGCCAGTGTCAGCGAGATAGAAAACGTTTGCCATCACGTCAGTGATGTATAACAGACAGCTAATCCACTAGCTGTATTTGACATTACCGCATGAGAGGTTTGTAATAACGCAAGATTTTGGGTCTGTTAAACTTCAGGGTTTCCTACAATTTCTGGAAGATTTACCGAAGATGTTGTTGTACAAACACCAATAAAGGTTATCTGCTTCTCTATGTATAAAAGTCGATCTTTTTCGTTATGGACTTTTTCGTGTGAGGTTTGGAGCGTCTAAAAGTAAAATAAATAGTAAGAAAACAAATGAAAGTATCACAAGTAACTGTAATTGCATTCTGTGGCGTTGGAGGCCCTTTTTGACAGAACAAACCTCAATACTGAGGAATCTAGTGGTTTTCAGAAACCGATCGACAGACGCAGTCAGTTTTTATACGGTGTTATTTTGGAACGAAACGAGAAGTAATCTCACCTATTGGGGCAGCTTAGACAAGAACAGCTGTTTAACCATAGAAGTGCCGTTAGCTGAACTCAGATGTACATTTAGTTAAGTATTCCCAAACACCACAAAAAAGACCTATTGGGTAAAATCAAGTTTGGAAACTAAAGTTGAACAACTTAGCTACTAAGGACAAAAACAAGCTGAAATATATCCTCTTAATCGGACTGTACCAACAAACAATTTACAAGTAATGATGAAAGCTTTTTTGACTGCGACAATGTAGTGTGTGAATAGGTATCAGTGGTATACACTTGCACATCCATTGTTTCATATCAGTAGAATAGGTAACTAATGAAAGCCATCTTTCAAGTGCATGTATAATAATTTGTATTCATGGCTTGAGGATAGAAAGAGAGGAATAGAGGGGAAATAGAAGAAAACTGAATACATTTTAAACCTTGAATACGAAATCGACAATATTATATACCTATCGAATTGACTTAGAGTTTTATCATTGTGCAGTTAACAAACAGAATCACTTGAAATCTCTAGGAGGTATTTACTGTTTTTTATGCTTAAGCTACGGTTGACGGAAGTTTCAATCCACACCTGAAACTAAAAATAAAAACACTGAATTTGTAGTGACTCACGTTTATCGCGAGAACACGACTGGTTTAATAAAAACAATTATTATTATAACCAACTGTACCAGTGTTTATTTTAACGTGCTTTTGTTTGACTGTGCTAATGACAGCTATTTTGTGCTTCCATTCTTTTACTTACACTTTGATTGTAACTTCGCGCGGATTCGGTTACGTTCTGTAACCAAGGTTGTATCCTGGCATGATCTCGGTATCCTTTCGATGCCACGAGATCGCCAGCAAATAAACCTCGACTTGGTCCATTAATTGCCTTCTGGTATTCGGCTTCTCGGGGATTTTATGGAGTCATTTTAACGAGCTTCTTACGCCTTCTGATTTATCTGGCACATGTTTCTTGGTAGCGGTGTTCACATTTAATCTCAACTCGACGCCACGCTACAAATTTAACCAACAAGTACACAGGTCACTAATAAAGAATTAGTTTGTGCATTATGAAGATTTTACAAAATACATAGTTGACCAAGCCAAATCATAATATGCACATGGAATAATCAAGCTTGTCATTAGCTAGTAAGTTTGCAGCAGTCATGATATGTAGCTTACTTACATCCTCACATTGACTGGTCTGACGAAATGGCAAGCAATTCTAAAAATGTTCATCCTCCATTACCATCGCTGTTTAATGGTTCAACGTAATTATATCATACGACTTGCCAAGTCAGGATCAAGATAGCTACTATTAGATTTTTTTGCACTAAATCCCAAAGATAATGCTAGATAGCATCTATTTTATTAATAACTTCGAAGAGAATACTATTTATTAAGAACCTAAAAAACTTTGGATTAACAAGAAACAGCCTTCGTAGGATCCTACACCGAATCTGGCTTGGTGTAGAAGCAAAATTACACAAAATCCCTACTTCTATTTCAGATCATGTCCCACTAAAAACTGAATAAAAATAGGTTCCTTCCCCATTTGTTCAAAGTGAACTCCCAAACAAATCATACGTTCATTAACGCAATAGATAATTTAAACCTTTAGATCAGTTGATGCCAACTGAAGACAACTAGGTAATGTTGAAGATGGTAGTTTCTTCTCGTTTTTGGATGGTTTTCCAGTAACGAGCACCCATAAACCCGAATAGAGTTGGACTAAAGACATTCAGATATCGTGGAGAACAAGGTACCCTGATAGTATTTGGTCAGAATGTGCATTGGTCAATAAGTAAATTACACATTAAAATAAAAATGAAACGATATTTGGTAAATTTGACCAAAAAAATGTTTGCCATACTCATATTACTAAATGTAATGATAAGACGAGATTGATGTGATACTGCCATTATTGAAATTGACAAAAATTACTGCTAATTATTTTTATCGGTTTATTTAATTCTGTGCATGTTAGAGATATTTACTTAATAAGTATTCGAGATGTCTAGTCTATGAGATTGAATAGAATACTTAAACAAAATATGAACAATGAATTAAATTCACCATAGCAATATACTTAATTCACAGTTTCATACCTGATTAACGTGGCCTATTGAGTTGAATTCATTTTCTGTGTGACGATAGTAAAATAACCATCTAAATAATATATGCGCTTTAGTCTACTTAGCAAGAAGGAATATCCAGCAAAATTTAAAGACAACTGTATAAACCAAACTTATGTTGTAGTGAACGAGAACTTAGGTGAGAAAGACCAATTTATTATTGAATGCAAACTTAGAGTTCTTTCATAAAATGTGAAAATCATACATTATATACTTCATTTGTAAATCCTCCATTAATTGTCCTTTAAATCATTCACGATTCTCCAAATTCCTTTATTTTCTTCAGTTCTATCTTCTCAACCTCCTGTTGCCAGGTCTTCCATTTCTGACTGGTGTTGCATATCACTTCAAGACTATTAAGGTCCCAAATGTCTTTTTTTCCATTTGGTTAATAAATTGTAGTTCGGACGAAAGTAATCCATTGATGATTTGTGGTTCATATTATCACGATGGTGACATTTACTATTCATTGGTTAGTTACTTTCGCTCCTGTGACATCTCAATGTCAATACTGTATACAGAAAACCGTTTTTCCAAGTCTTTGACGTTTTGGGGAATAGTAAATCTCTTCTGAAATTCTCACTTTTATTCGTGTATGGATTATTAATGTTATAGTGTTATTGTGAATTAGACGTTCATTTGATCAAGTTCCCGTCTTATTAAAAAAACTTTTCAATCGTTCAAATAAACAAATAACTATCAAATCAAAACACAAACATTACTGACATAATTGGAGTTGAGAAGTGATTCCCCAGAAGTTCGACCTTATTAGCTTATTCATCAGTGATTATGGGTTAAAATTACCCCTAAAATTCCAAATCTTGTTTTTCCCGCTTTCTCAGAAAAGTTCCAGACTAAAATTATTCTTAAAAGACCTGTCATTCTCTTACAAGTTATAATCATTTTGTTCTTACCTAGCCAGTATAAGTATAGCTAGTAATTTCGAGGTAGGACAAATAAATCCATAATGTTTTTAACAAGATACCAAAAATAAGTCAAAGGTAAATGTATCGCGAGAACTTAAAGCAGAGAGATTTAGTTGATAAAGGTGAATTCCAAGTTTCTGGGTAATGAATACTTGACAGCATCATTGTGCATAAATTTCAGGACAGAAAAACTGATCTTTATGTTCTGTTGAGCTTGAAATGCACTAATAATTGAAAAGAAGATACTTCCACTTTGATTGTTGCCGTAACAGAGTATTTAATATATGTTTCATTACAGGCTGAAGAATGATGAGAAACTAGAAAATATTCAGAAATGCATGATCTAACTTGGTGATAAACCTGTCATAAGCACCCAGTCTTCCTCTTGACATAATGAATTACAACTCCCTACAAAAACGATGCTACCGAATTCCCACTCAGAGACTGAATGCTATCCTACTCTCACGAATACTAAGCTTTTTACGTTAAATGACTAGTAATTGAGCATTATTGAGCAATTTCGAACTGAAAAGAAACAGATAACCAATTCTTCTTGATTTCCAGTGATTTTTCAGCTGATGCCACAGACCATGGCTTCAAAAAATTATAATATAACACTTTCAGTAAGTAATTAGAAATAGATGTAACTACTTTATCAAGTGCAGTTTTATGCACTCGGCTTTGAGCCACATTGTTTTTGTGAGGACCAGTGATAAAACATGGTTATCCAAATTGAAATAGATGTAGCGACGTTTCGATCTAGAGCCTACTATTGAAACACCAGCCATCTACCGAATCTTAGTGCAATAACGAAAATAGTTTAAGCCAGAGAACAAAAATATTTAAAAAAAACTACATGCTGATAATCCATAGTAAAAACAAAGGGTTAGTGTTAAAGTGAAGACAAAACAACTTCGCATAACATCATTATGCAATACAAAATAAGTAGCCCTAAGAGTTCGTTGATTTATCAATTAAATAATGCAAATATTTCAATATAAAGCTTTAACTCATCAGCATGGCTGTATATGACTGTTTACAAACCAGTGGTAAGTTTGACACCACAATACTGCACATAACACTGAATAACAAGCATTTGTCATTTATCGTATTTCACAATTTATCAAGTTTGTTTATAAAATGAAAACGGGGTAATGAATGCATTAGTCATAATAAAAGAAATCAAGAAATACTCAGAGAGTAATAATAATAATAATAATAATAATAATAACCGACAAAACTTCACGTATAATACAAAACAACTAAACTCGATCCATACAAACATACGTTATGCACAAAACGAATAGAGGTTAGGCAAATATATCAACATATAAACTGAAAAATATGACAGGATTGCACACAAATGTAGTATATCAATGTATTTTACAGGAAAAAATATACTCCATAAGGGTGAATACACATAAATGTAAAGATAGATAAAACCTAATTGGTGGAAAATAATTATTTATGAAATAGTTAATCTACAGTCAGTCGATAAAGTACAGGTATAGGAGAAAATACAGCCTTTTCCGAGAAGACACTGACAAAACTAGAGAAAGGGAAATAAATAAACAATGGAATAATTTAGAAGTGTGGATTCGTCGATTGTGAAGTATTTAATTTAAATCCTGACGCACGTACAGGTGTTTGACCTGGAAAATAATGATTAGCTACACGAGCTGCTTCACGTAGACCACTTAAAAGTGCACCATGCACAGTAGCTGGATAACAACGGCAAGTATGTTCACCAGCAAAAAATATACGAGGATTATTAGTTGGCATAGAAATATCATCACTGGAACTACTAGAGTAATAAACTGGTTCACCAAGAATATCATAATCAGCACCTGTGGCTCCAACAGCAACATATGAGTAAGATCCACGTGAATATGGATCAGTTCTCCATCGCGTGACATATGCATCAATTGGCTAGAATAAATAATTAAATATGGTAAACAATTTAATTGATTCAAAACAAAGGAATGGTGTGCAGAAATCTGTCGTATAAGACTGTCCCGTCTGTTGAATTATTACTCAAGAAAATATATCTAATCCGGTTAAATTAACATCAAATGATTAGAAAATCGATAAGCGATCATTGATTTTTGACAAGGATATACAAAACAGCCAAAATGATGCAAGAAATGTAGTTGTGATGTACAATGAATACAGTTGAATGAGTGATTCCGTACTAGAATAAGAAATAATTTCTTAATATTATATTCATTATAATTGGAAATCACAGACTTCCAGAGCAAAATAAAATTTATTTATTTTTATGATAACACAACACTTCTAGTATTAATAAAACTGTGTTAAAATGAGTAAAATTGACAATAATTTCGTATGAACTCATTTCTAATCACCAAAGGTAATCTGAACGCAGGGTTCTACGACTAGCTTCTTTGCATCATTACCTATGACAGTTGTCTGAAATTTTGATATAACAGTCGAATGTTTTGAACAAAACACATCCACATATTTAATCTGTTCAAAACAGGGGACAAAAGTAACATGTGTTCTAATTATTCAGTAAAAGTAATAAATAGCAGACAACTACGAAAAAGGTTTTAAGTCTATGCTAAACGAAATGTAGTAGTCTTTACGGATCTAATTAACAGTGGATATGAAGTTTTGAAATAATTTTACTTCGACAACTAATAAGCCAACATTAGTTCAAAGTGAGATCAACAGTATAACAAATACTTTATTAAATTAGCGTTTATCCCCAGCATTGCTTATTTGAACAATATTGAATAGCTTGCTAGTATGTAGAACGCCATTTATTTGGTCTTTTATATTTAAATCATAATACTGAGATTTAATTGCATGAGAAAAAGATAAAAAATAATAAACCACTTACATTTTTATTTTCAATAAATTAAACTTACATTTGGTATAATAAGTTTCTTCTTTTCTTGATTACTATGCATTCCACCATTACAATTACTAATGTTACTGTTATTATTATTGTTACTAACACTACTACTACCTTCTTGGCTGAAAATACCACGAAGAACTTGCATAGCTCGTATAATAATAGGTTCTTTAAGTCCACGACCTAATAGATAAGATGTTGGTGTGGCAGAATTATTGACTAATGAGTTTTGACCTTTAGATCCTGGTGATAGACGTCGTGTAGGTGAAGTTTTCTCATTTTCTAAATCACATGCAGCACGACCAGCAATTAATGCTATCAATACAGGCTTATCAGTAATTGACCAGAATAAAAATAATTCACCACGCGAATTTGTTGATTCATTCACATGTCCAAATAGATTGTGTGAACGATCCCAAAAACTCTTCTCAAATATAAGTACAACCTAGAGAACGAAAGAGATAATACCGATTAACACTACGTGAATATGGTCATTGAAGTCATGTTCATCGAGAGTTGCCAGCAGGACAACGAATCTACACCTAGGTTGGTTTCCTTTGTAAGGTTGAAATTTGCTTTGTTTAATAATTATATTATGATTTTCAAACATACACTGAACAACTTTGATAAACCAATCATCAAAACAATGCTATTTTTGTATAACATCAAATGTATGGTTAAAATTTACGCAGAGTAATCAGGGTTCGTCGTAATGTCCATTATCAACCGGAACGATGTAATGTTATGATTGAATAGATTAAAATGATAAAAAGCAAACACTTCAATGAGCAACACAAATTGGTAAAAAAAATACAGTTGGATCCTCCCAGTACCTTGTCTCATTGGGCCACAGAAGTAGTAGAAGACAATATTTAGTCTGTGGTTATGATTAATCATTACTTAGCAAACTTTTGAGCTCCGTACATACATTTTCAGCCAATGTAAAATTATAATGGGAGTGATGGAACGGTGTAAGCCGATTGGTCCAACAGCAAAACGAACTATCCAGTAAAATCACTCAAACCATGTAGCAGCATGAACTGAATTGAATAAATTACTACTACCTTTGAAGCGGACGCTACTCAGAAGGATGTTTGTAAGTAGTGTGCAGCAGGATCTGATGCCGAAGTTACAGCAATTGTCAAACAGAGCGAAGAGTTTCATTGCGTCGACAGCACGATATCGGCAGAGTACTTGGAAACCAGAGGAGTAAACAGTCCAGATGGCAGAATACACCGAAAGATGAAAATGGACGATTGAAGACTACGTATATTTAAAAGACTAATAATTGAACGAAGAATATTCTTTTCGATAAATTCTCTTCAGGTTCTACAATTATATATCCAAATTAATAATCCCTTAACATGGCCATTTTTCGGATTATTAATTTGGATATATAATTGTAGAACCTGAAGAGAATTTATCGAGAAGAACATTCATGGTTCAAATTACTAATTTTTTAATATGATGGGGATCTTTAAACGATTACATATGTGTTAAGTAAATATTTTGTAACTTCTTACAACAAATACACTTTCCTTCTGCCTATTGCCTTCTTTACATCTTGTATGGAAATAGCTTAAGATGTTGATATCTGAATAAGTTACATAACATAAATAATTTAGTAATGAACAAACATATCAACAACTAGACTTTCTAACCAACTAACACAAATCGGTGAAAATAACAGTTAACAATAAAAAATCACGGAAGTCTAGTCAATCATATGAATATTATTTTTCTCTAGAAAGAGGCCGATAACTCAACAATATTTAAAATTATAGGAGACAACATCTACTCATAAAATTTTACTAATGAATGGATTAGTAGCAATGAAAATATACATTATAAAACGATCGTTTGTATATTCCAAAAAAGAACTAAAGTTTATAAAGAGTAAATAAATGAAAGAATCAAACTAATACATATTTACGCAATTCATTTAATAAGTACAGATCCATGTTTTCATTCATGTAAGAAAGGATTAGCGCTTTAAAATGTATGTAATTGGAGCAAGCTCCAAACATGGAATCCTTATGGATGAAGTAAAGTTAATAATTGTTCTCAACACACAGGTATTTCTAATAAGAGGTTTAAATGTTAGCTGATTGGAGAAAGGAATTCTCCAAATCAAACAAAGTGGTAACGTGAAATCAGGTCATTTGAACTAGTTATTAACAATGACCGCGTAGCTGATAGAATTTGAACAATACCAAAGGACTAGTACAGTAAAACAATGTCGGTTACTTACTCATTGATCAGTTAGTCAACATCTTTCAACAAGAAAAATATTAAATAAGACCTGATGTTCTAAAATGACAGCTAACACTAGGTAAAGAAGAGGACTAGTAAACTAGAAGTCACTAAATCGAGATAATAGCACGAACACTTTTTGTCGTCTTTATCTTACAAATATTAAAAGGGTAATAGTAATCAAACAACAAACTCGTAGTATATTCGATCCTTGCTCCTGTTTCGATTTGGGAAGCCGAATAATATCTTCCGGCCCCGTGTATCCAGTGTAATGTAAAACTGACTGCACAAGGTTGTATTTACAAAATGAGTAATACAACCTAAAAAAATACCAATATGTCACTCGGTATACATCTTTGTATTATATGTAATGCTTACTTTATTCAATACACCAAATCCTAAACGCTGAATAGCTGAAATTTTCCAATCAGGCAAACGTGGCTCAAAACGTGGTACAACTAATTTTGTAAGACAATTGTTAGATGATTCATTTGTTGTAATTTGTGATTGATGCATGGTTGTTTCATTATCTTGTTGGATAATTTCTTTTAAGATACCTAATGGTAGAGTACAAATTAAAGCATCTGCTTCATATTCAATTAAATCATCTTGACTAAATGCCGAATTAAGGACATCCACTTGAACACCTGTAAAACAAAAAGATATTTTAATATTAAATTATACACCAAAAATCTTCCTTGTGTATATATTATACGTAAATATGTTGTATAACATAAGAGAATGAGAAAAGTGAAAACTATTCATATCTTGAGTAATCATTTATTCTCTGAGCTAAGTTAATTTATTTTTCAGTAATAAATATCATAATTGAGCTTCAATGAGAACATCAACATTGAGGTGTAAGTAAATTCAGATGACCAGTTTCAAATAGGAAGAAACGCTCGTTATGTATACCACTATCGGGCACAATCAAAATATTCGAAAGTGGTTTATTTATTATCTCATTATGCTGTCCAGTATGACAATGAAAGCTTAACAATTAAACCGTATCATATTATTTATTGTAAGATTTAAAAACAATCCAGCTATAAGACAGACAACCAACACTGATCAAGTTAAGCTTACTGTATGACGATGTAACTCATCAGACACAGATTCATGTACTCGGTTTTGAATCCCTGTTTGTGTAAAGGTTAGTGGGACTAACCAGATGTCACAACCGATATAGGTGAAACAGGGTTTGAGCTCACGACCTACGAGTTAGATGACTGTTTTAACGGATACGGTACTGTAATATATATATGCTCTAACACATGCATGACAGAAAATTCATTGTGTAATGTAAAATTTGATCATCCACTATTCAACCATTAAGCAAGCATAACTTAAAAATGATTTTTTCAACATTAGATTTAAAATAAAATTCGTGAATATCTTACCTCTTTAAATTCATATCATTCGAATTTCTTCAAGAAAATTACTTACGCCTGTTATTCCTCGTGGAGAAACACAGGCCGCTCACCAGTATTCAACATCTAACTGTGTTCTGGGCAACCCTTTCCAGTTGCTATTCATTGTTTTGTTGTCTGCTTCCAATTCGCGACGCAATGGTCTTCGGTCTTCCTCTTTTCTTCTTTTCCTCAGGACTCCAGGCTAGGGCTTTCCTCCTGATGCAGTTTGCTGATTTTTTCAATGTGTGTCCTACTCACCCCCAGTGTCTTTTCCTAATTTCCCTTGGCTGGAAGCTTGTTTGTTCTCTGCAACAGTAGGTTGCTGTTTATAAATACTTGTGCTTTTTAGATGATGGTTGTAGTAGTTTTCCAAGCCTCGACTCCATGTATTTGAACTGTCTTGACGTCCGTCGTAAGATTCTGACTTTGATGTTGGTTAATAATCTTTTTGAGTTCCACATATTCTTCAAATGAAGGAATACTGCCCTTGTTTTGCCAATCCCTGCCTTGATATTTAAATCAGATCCTCCGTGTATGTCGTTGGTGCTGCCCAGATATGTGAAAGATTCCGCATCTTTCTGAGCTTCTCTAACAAGTGTGATTGGATTGGTGTTCTCTGTGTCGCATTTCAGAATCTTTCTTCCCACCTTGTTTCTGTTGAGGCTTACTGTTGCAGATGCTGCTGCTACACTGGCTGTCTTCCTCTGCATTTGTTCGTGTGTATGTGATAGAAGATCTAGATCATCTGCGAAGTCTAATTCATCTAGCTGCATCCAAGCTGTCCATTGCATTCTGTACTTTCCCTGAGATTTGTAAGTTTTTATAATTCAGTCAACCACCAGGCGAAAGAGGAAGGGCAAGAGTGAACAGCCTTGTCTGACATCGATCTTCACTTGGAATACATCAATCAGATGTCCTCTATGCACGACATTTCAGTATAGTCTATCGCACGAATACCCTATGGTGTTAATAATCTCACGTATACTATAGTGTCGAAGAAGGTCCCATAATGTTCTCCTATCCACACTGCCAAACGCTTTATCATAATAAGGGAATTTGATGTATAGTGACGAGTTCCATTCAAATGATTGTTCAACAATGATTCTTAGTGTCGCGATTTGGCCTGTACACAACCGACCTTTACGAAACACAGCCTATTAATCTCGAAGCTGAGCGCCTACTGAATCTTTCATCTGGTTCGACAATACAAAACAAACGTTCCCTGATACTAATACGAGTGTGGTGCCTCTGTATTTCTGACAATTTCTCAGATCTCTTTTCCTTGGTATCTTGATGAGGTATACTACTTTCCAGTTTATCGGCACTTGTCCTTCCTCCCAAGTCTTCCTGAATAAAATGTGGAGGATCTTGACAGTTGCTTCTACGTCTGACTTTAGTGCTTCGACTGGTATGTTGTCAGGTTCTGCTGCTTCCTCACTCGTGATCTGTCTGATGGCCATGATGATTTCTTCGATGGTTGGTGAAATGACAACTATAGGAAGGTCTGTGTGTGTTGTTTCGATGACCGGTGAGTTCAGTGAGGCTGGTCTATTCAAGGGTTCTTCAAAGTGGTCTACCCATTTGTTTCTCTATTCTTCAATCTCAGTGAATGGCTTGCTTTCTGTGTCCTTAACTGGTCTCTCTGTTTTATTATATTTCCCTGTCAGTTTCTTCGTTGTCATATAGTTGTCTCATGATTCCTTCTCTTGCAACTTTTACCACTGTCGTTGCTAGGTCCTTCATGTATTTCTGATTTTCCACTCCAATGCTCCTCTGCTTGTGCACATTCAGCTTGTCAGTCAGTCAGTTACAACGTACGACTAGGCACATACATGCATCTGTCCAAGTTGCCACACCTCATTAGCACAGCAAGACGAACACGGGATTCATAGAAGCAGTTAACTCAATGATGTAATAAATAAAGGAAAGATTTTAAGTAAGGATATAATGCAGATAAAAAGAATTAGTTCGTCGTAAGAAAGATATGAAATAATTTTAGCCTCATAGTTTAAGGGAAGACAAAGAGTGTATACACCGACGCCATTGTGATCGATTCTGAGCCATGTCACAAAGAGTCTCCAACCATTGGTTACGATAGTCACGCGGACCCCAACCAATTAGTCTACATTTATTTATTATTTATTTATTTGAACACATAAATATTGGTACAGGAGTGCGCCAAATATATATGCGCAACACAAAACAATGAGAATTTAAGAAAAAAAATGAGGAACGTAAAAAAAATTTTAAAAAAAAACAATAATGAAGAGATTGGTGTAAGGTAGTGTAGTAATAATAATAGTAATAATGAGGGAACGGAAAGGCACGATCAAAAGAGATCTTTCAGTTAAGGGAGACACAACCACTTTTTATGAAGAAAGTAAAAGAAGGTTACAGCAAGATCGCCACTGGCTTCTATTCTGAGCCATATCTGATAACGTCTCTAGCCACTGTAGCACCATCTCTCGGACTCCAACCAGGGAGTCGTGAAGGACCAACACAAGCCAGTCCTTTGCAGCTTTCTTTCATACCACGACACCATGTCATGCACTGACCACCTCTCCGCTACTTCCAACCAGTCCCAGAGTCGGCAAATAATGCACGACGTGGAATTCTCTGAGACAACATCCGTAGAACATGTCCAAGCCACCGAAGTCGGTGTTTCAAGATGGTGACATCAGTTGCATTATCATCTCTGTGCCCGAACACACGATGCCGAACCTCTGCATTACTAACATGGTGTTGCCACTGGATGTCAACAATCCTTCGGAGACAACGATGATCGAACACAGAGAGTCTTCTAACGTCCTCAACTCGGAGAGGCCAGGTTTCACAAGCATAAAGCAAGACTGCTCTCACCGACGCGTTCTAGACCCGACCTTTTGCGGCCAGACTAACATCACGAAGGCGCCAAAGGTGGCCCAGATTGGCATAAGCCGCTCTGGCTTTCACTATACGTGCATTGATCTCATCACTCACACCCCCACCAGCACTTATGCAGCTACCCAGATACACGAACTTCTCGACTACGTCTATCTGCTCACCATCCAGAGTGAGTACAGGGTTAGAATCCTGCCAGTCTTGTAGAAGTACTTTGCACTTCGAAGGTGCAAAGCACATACCGTACCTACGGACACTGGTTGCCAACTGATTAAGCGCGAATTGCATGTCTTGGGGATTATCGCACAGAAAGACAATATCGTCCGCATACTCAAGGTCGAGAAGTCTTTCTCCAGGCAACAGATCCACACCACCATTACTTACATCCATCAGAGCTGTTTCCAGAATGTCATCGATGGCAAAGTTGAAGAGGAATGGTGAGATTGGGCAACCCTGTCTAACCCCACTGCTCGAATGGAACAATGGAGAGAGGTGGTTGTATACCCTCACTCTGTTTGAGGTGTTTGTGTATAGGGCTTTTAGGATGTTAATAAACTTCTCAGGCACACCCTTCTTCAATAGACAATCCCAGAGAACAGTTCTGTCCAACGAATCGAAGGCAGCCCTGATGTCAAGAAACACTACGATTGTTGGCCTTTGATAAGTATGGCGGTGTTCTAACATTTGGCGGAGGGTGAAGATATGATCAATACATCCTCGACCAGAACGAAACCCAGCCTGCTCCTCGCGAGTCAATCTTTCTCGGGTTTTGAACAACCTACGAAGTATGACGGAAAACAATAGCTTGAACGCAATCGGAAGTGGACTTATCCCCCGATAGTTGTTACAGGAACGACGTGAACCCTTTTTAAAGATAGGGACAACTATCGACTCATTCCATGACGTTGGTATACTCTCTAGTTCCCAAACCTTTGTAAATAACGTTGTCAATTCCTTAGTCAGAAAGTCACCACCATCTTCAAAAAGAGCCGGAAGTAAGTCATCTGGGCCAGGTGAGTTGTAGCGCTTCAAGAGTTGGAGTTCCTTGCGGACTTCCGCCTCATTTGGTGGATCAGTCGTCACCTGCCATGGAGGGCAGGACAGTCTGACCGATGTTGCCGGAGCAGCAGGCCAGTTGAAATGCCCTTCGAAAAATTCTGCCCATCGTCCAAGACGTCGATGGATGTTAGTGATTGGCATCCCGTCATCCTCGCAGATTGTTTCGCTCACACCAGACTTCTTGCTGCCAGTGGCTCGGATGAGTTGGAAGAGCTTCCGGTAATGACCAGATGCAGCTGCTGCTCCCAGCTCATTAGCACGCTCCGACCACCAGGCTTCTCGGTCCTTATGCAAGCTTTGCCCAATTTCCCTACGTAACATCCTTCGTTTGTGGTCAAACTCACGGTCACCCGGAATAGACCGACGGGTTTCAATGAGTTGTAAGGAGCCTGAAGAAACCCAGTGCCTATGGGCGGGACGTTTCGCGAACCCACAACTGACTGTACCCGCCATTTTCATGGCTTCATGCAATTGCAATCAATGCTCATCTATTCTTTTCGGTGGAATGGTAGCTAGCCTAGAAACTAGCTCGGTTCGATACTTACTAGCAACAGAGGTTGCAACCAGCTTGCTAATATCAATCCGTTGATGGCGGTCAGTTCGTTGGCCACTGAAAAGTAAGGCACGATTGGCGCAGACCAAGGCATGGTCAGAGTCCAGATAGGTACTCCAAAAGGAGCGGCAGTCTTGTACACAACCACGCCAGCGGTAGCTGGTCGCGATGAGATCAATCTGAGTCCAGGCTTGGAATGTAGAGGAAGGACGCCAGGTGGCACATCGGCGATGACTGTGCCGAAAGTTAGTGCTAGCCAGAAACAGGTTGTGGTCTGTGCATAGTTGCAGTAGACGGTCCCCGTTATCTGACCTGCGACCAACGAGTCCCCATCGGCCACCTAAACAACTCTCTTCTGTACCTAGACGCCCGACCTGAGCATTCAAGTCTCCCGCTAGTACTATAACATCTGTCGAACGCACTTTCTGGAGAACAGATAACTGGTGGTAAAACTCATCCTTGATTGCATCCGGGCTGCAATCTGTCGGGGCATAGGCGGAGATGACGAAAAGACATCGTTTCTCACGCCGATTTCTTCTCACTTTGATGGAACTTTCTAATCTAACAGCACATAACCGACTGTTAATGGGGATCCAATCGATTAGTGCTGACTCAGCTCTAGCGCTTAGTGTGACACCAACACCAGCAAGACCAGACGAAGATGCCATAGGGTCCCCGGATAAGCGCACGTAAAACAAGCTTTTCGAAGCGACAGATGGAGGTCGAATTTGTAGTACTTCGCTAGAGTCTTGAATATGGGTCTCGGATAGACAGCAGACATCGATATTAAGACTTTCCAAAGACATAGCCAGCCCTATCTGTTGTCCAACCTGCATAAGTGTGCTAACGTTGAAGGCAGCCAGTTTGAATGGTGCACGTGGTTTCAGATAAACTGCTTCTGTACTCATATCCAGTGGTAACGTACAATTTTCAACCGGACAGTGACTCGAGAACGTTTAGATAGAGTCGAATTTCCACCATAGACGAGCTGCTGTATAAGTCGAAAAAAAATAAGTATAGACAGAGTAGGAATGAAAGAGGATGAATAATGATGTAGTAAATAATAATAATAATAATAATAATAATAATAATAATAATAATAATAATAATAATAATAATAATAATAATAATAATAATAATAATAATAATAATAATAATAATAATAATATTTGAATCATTTGAATGTTTGTCGAAGCAAGAGAATTAGTTTCCATGATCATAGACAGTTCAGTTCATTAATTGTGTGTGGGCTGTGATACTGCCCGGGTGCCCAAACCGAAGCAGGTGGTTTTCTTAAGGGGCCACACCCCGAGCCTTTGACCTAATGGTCTAACCCACAAGGCAGTGGAGCATCGTAAGTAGATGCAGTCCCATGGAAGCCGGTGACCAGCAATTGGTTCATACGCCATTTGTTCCCGCAGGATACTGGAGCCCATGTGAACCATTGATTTGGAATCCGGTTAAAGCGCCGGACATTCGCTTTTCGTCCTCTCATCTTCGTAAACAACACTCCCGCCACGAGAAGGCAGTGAGTAGGACTTCCCTGGCAGAGGCTGTATACGCGTGACCGTGTGAGAGTATTTCGAGAGGGAGGGCGAGCCCATCCCGCTCTCGGCCATACCAGGGCATTTGGGGGCTATTTTAGGAAACCCTGGACCCGGGTTTCGTGCTGCTTGGCACTCGTCAGCAAGGTGTACACGTAATCTTGAGGGAACTGGTGCCCCTGGTGGATTCGATCTCGTGTCACACAGCTTCTAGTCTACATCCACCAACATGACTCAGACTAGAAGTTAGTGACTCCAAGCACTGATGTTACATTTTGGTTTGGCCGCCCCTAACTTTCTTCTAACCATCCCCAACACTGGTTGGCGTTGCATGTCGTAATAATCGGTGTTTAGGCATGCGTAACACGTGGCCCAACCATCTCAGTCGATGAAGATTCACAACCTCATCAACTGATTTATCATCATTCCCTAATACCCTGAGTCTAAACTCACTATTACTTACCTGATGATCCCAGCAGATGTTGGCAATATTTCTGAGGCATCTGTGGTCAAATTGTTAATGATATTTGATGAATATGAAATAACCATCCTTAACTCTACTAACTAGTCTTCTTTTTGTCATTATTATTGATGAAGTAAGGACGTAAAATCACTCGATGTATAGTTAGCATTTGAATGACAATTTATAATCACTTAAAATCTGACAAGTTTATTTTACAAAATATACGAATTTGAATATAAAATTTACCTGTATTAGAGTAAGAAATACGTTTAACTGTACTTTTCAATTCAATATGACCAGGTCCAAGTTTATAAGTGGATGAATTTGATGACGATGTTGTTGTTATTACAGATGTAAGATGATTATCACGAGGTTTTAATCCAACTGTTAATGACTGACCAGATGTAATAAAATGTGCTAAATTATCGGTTACTGATCCGTAACCGTCTTGTAATACACAATGATCACCGCTTAATTCAAACAAATCATCTTGATCCCAATGACGTAATGATAAATTATGCAATTCTGTGGCATTGGCAAATTCCAAATTAGCTAAATGCCAATCAAGTATAGAACGTTCTTCTTTGGTTAAATACATATCTCTGAAGGAAAAGAAAGTAAAGCGACAGAACAAAGAACATGGATTGTATGAACAACCAAAAAGATTGTTAATGAGAAATTCATTGAAATAACAGAGAAAATCAGTGATAGGATGTTTGAACTTGTCCATACTAAAACGGATCGAGTCTATGATTGAAATAAATTCACACACTATCCATTTACACATATACAATAGTGACAATAGTAAATATTGATACCGGTCAAACTAAGGAATAAAACTAATAATGTGGACAGTACAAAGGGAATTAGAAAAATACCAACTGTGACAGATAACAGAAACTGGCTTTCTTCCATTACACTTCAAATCTTGTTTTCCTATAATGTTTTAATCGTTCGGTTTCTCTTTAATTTCACTGTTTTATGGTAAATAATAAGAATTTAAATGGACAGCTTATCTCAAGTTTTATGATATTTCAGTCAGTTAGTCAGTCAATCGATCGATCACAGTATATATATATATATATATATATATATATATATATATATATATATATATATATATATATATATATATATATATAAATGTATATCATGAACAGTGATACAACCCTGGGGGGAGTTAACCAAATCGAAATAGATAGATGCGGAGGTAGTATTCAAGACTGTGACTCGATAGTTAAAAATCGAGCACTTTACAAACATTAAGCATGATAAAACTAAGAAATATTTAATAATAACGTTTATCGGATACAAGTTTACTCATGAATTTTTGAGTCATATTAGCTGTATATGGGCTGGTCAAACTAAAATGGAATGTTTATTAAAAATGTACTCGGAAAAAATTACTGTGTTGAACTTTCAGTTAAGCATCTTAAATTAAGCTTAGATTTATACAAAAGTCGGAAATAGGTTCCCTTTATTGATAATTTTATTGTGTGTGTGATTCCTCTCCTAAGCTGGGGAAATATGGGAATTAAGTACGTAATTTTTGTCAGTAGGACATTTACAAAATATATTAATTTTTAAAAAAACCAAAATTTGTCACGTGACTATTCAGTCTAGGCAAAAAAGTTGATATAATGCTATTTATAAAGTAAAACCTTGTGGTCCTAAATATTTACGTTCAAAATGAATAAAAGGATTGATTTCCTCACTCTATCAGTATGTTTCTTCAGTTTGTACATAATAACTGTATTTCCTGAGATATTTTTAAGGACTTTTTAATGAAAATATTAAACCATGAATGACATGGCCAGAGTTGTACAGATTTGTCATTTTAGTGAATATATATGCATATGCATTAAAAAATAAATTGGTTGTCCCCACCTGAGTTCTCTTTCACAACATACGTATATATGTATGTATATACATAATTATTGATTATACTGATCAAATTATTTTCAAGGTTCAACAAATCTGAATAATTTTATTTCAAAGTTCAATAATGTGTCAATTTATATTGCTTAATTCAGTGACATCAAGTAATTATCTATACTAATGAAGGGAGTGTTGAGCAGATTTTCAATTTGTAACCTAATAATAGCGGCTGGATATTTTGATCAAAGCAGAACGTTATCCGATATCATAGTTATTATTCTTGTCTATGAAAGTTGTAGGACTAATGAAGCCCAATGAATATATGCGAAATAGATATCTACAGAGGTTTTACCAACTTTTACAATTTCGTATAATTAAATTAAGTTTATTACTTGTAGCCAGTTTATGAAAAATAACATTAAAAGTTTTTCTTTCATTTTACCAGTAGTGAAGTAAAACAAGTTTATATTGATAGCTCGCCTGATAAATAATCCAGCGGAGCTATTTAAGTTTCCTTTAAAACAAAAGCATGAATTACCATGTATTTTGGTAATCCCAGTAACGATAACAGAACAGCTCACAATATTTCCTCATTAATCGAACCTTATAAGACCTATTTACCAATGATTACTTATTTAATACAATTTAGGAATATAAAATGTATTAATTTATTCTTATTTTCTAATTATCATCTTAAAAAAATTCTTCAAAATCTCCAACATTTTCAGATACATATTAAAATAGCGATTTCCTCAAAACAAATGATATTATATTAAGCTAGCAGATGAGATTAAATTACCATATTTTTACGGACTGCAATCTATGGTACACCCTTTAGCACACGGTTGAAAATACATAGCCCTCTCAGCAAATACACTAAGTGGACAATGAAACTTTTATAAAATGGTAAGAAACATTTGTGGAAATAACACATTAAAGAAAATAGAGCCTCTCGACTGAGCCGATACATTTAGTAAGAGCCGTAAGGACTACGACGATGACACGAGGTCAAGATGACCATCCAATATCTGTGGTCTCTTGTGCTTAACGATTGTCGATTTGCAGTCCGATGGCTTTTGGTCAACTGAGTTAAAGTTAGACATTATCTGTGAAAATTATATTTGAAATAATTTCAGCGATTGAAATTTTAATAATTCCAGTGTTCAGTCCAACAAACTTGTCTCTATATTCGACGCTCAATTTTTGTCAAAATATTCGTTCTAATACTGATGAATATTCGTATGAATTAGAGATAATTGTCTGTGAATGCAATTTTATTGAAACATCAAATGACAGTCTAAATTCAATAGTCTTTTAAGAATGCTTCAAATAATGGAAACAATCTAAAATTACCAGATATTATAATCATTTAACATATATATAGTTGCATGTACTTACTTCGGTGGTTCTTGAAGTAATATATCTAATTGCTTATTGACTTGAGACAGGGCAATTTGAAGTGGTTGAAATTTCTTCCAAGCTTCATGTAAATGACTAAGTAACTGGCGAACTTCGAATTGAGCGCTAACATTAAATACTGGTAACGAAGGACGTTGAGATAGATCAGTAGCGGAGGATAATCTTACCGCATTGTTATCAGCTGATCTGGTGAAATCGTTATGAAAATGGGAAAAAGACGATTAGAGGAATCACCATAGTATATGTTATATAGAACAAATTGTCATAATACATTTACTTTTAAATATCAACCATTCTGCTTCTATGAAATCAAATTATTAATATTGATATTTCGATTTTTCCATAGTAGTTGCCTTTCCATTATTTTTATGCACTCATAAATGTGTGGCTAGAAACGGTAGTTTTAGATGCGCTAGTGGGAACTTGGACTCGGCCCCCTAAAACTGCATTCCTACTGGCTAAATCACAATGCCACTTTAAGGCACTGCGTAAATAACTGTGTTTTTTGTTTTCTTCACTATCTAATTTATCCATTATTTCAACTGTTATTAGTTGAATTTAATAATAATCCAGGATAATATGAACCTGAGCTGTACAGTTGGGCTATATGAGTTGTTTGGTAAATTCAGAGTAGCAGCTTCTTAAATAACATAACACTTAATAGTATTTCTATATTTCATTTTTTAATAACTACAATAAATTAAATATAAATTTTTCGTTCAACTTCGTAGTATGAATATCACAGCTGTGAGAAATTTATTAGGTTTTGTAATTTACCATACGCTGTAGGTTTACAATTCAGTTGAATACTGTAAATTAGGAAGCGCTAGAGGCCACCGGTCTTATATTTGACTGTTGAACGGATGTATTGAATGAGAAATTCCACAGTGTACTACATCCATCTTCATTTAACACGAACAATATACGCAAAAAAACTCTAATTGAACAAATAGACTTCGTCTATTTACTTTTATGCAAATATTTATGTATTGAGTTGCATATATATAGACTGGAAGAGAGCCAAAAACTTTTTAATACGTGGCAAAAAAGTCAACAATAAAATTAACTATGTGTAAACATATTCATCAGAGATCTCGAAATGAATTTTATGAATAGTAACCAATAGACCATGTATAGAACAAAAACGGTGAATCAATAGAAATTATGATCAATTATTGATTACTTTTGTGATCCATTTGATGAAGCTGATTCAATGACTAGTTTTCCATCTAGTTCAGCACTACTGGAACGAGGTGAACATGATGAATCATTGCGTACACGAGATTTATTTTGCGTAGGATTTTGTGTTTTAGATTGTTGAGTATAGTGATGGATTGGTGACGATTGGTTATTTAATGCTTTTGATGCTGAATGCCACTTTTCATAAGCTGCTTCAATATTTTTACGTTCAATAACCATCTATGAAAAGAAATAAAGATTTGTACAAGATCTAGACAAAAGTGGCTATAAATGTGGAAGACTGCAATTGAAAGATTGGGCATAACTCAAGAATGGTAAGTAGTATAATAATAGTTTATAGGTCAAAATAAAGCTTGTTATAAGAGGGGTATAGATATACATAATCTAGCCATTGAATAGTTATACATTAAGAATATACGTATAATATTTGTCCATAGATAATTATCAAAAGTTACCATTCATAATTCTCGTCGGGATGAGTAAATCAATCTACTTTTGACTTTTCTTCCCGTCATATCAGTATTCAAAACAAAGGCTAGCTGTGTTAGGGATTTTGACTATACATATGATGTAAAGGTCAGAAATACCAAAGTAAACTATCTGTTAATTAGTTGAGATTTTAATTACAAATCTATGAATCAGTGATTATTAACCAAAGACAGGTACCTACCAACCGATCTGACATTTCTTGTGTGCAACAAAGCAGAGGGATTAAATATTAAGTCCATGAATTTTATTAGCATGAAGTAATGTGATGATATATAGAGCAGTAAGACTTCAACAATTCGTAACAAATGTAAGAGCGAAAGCTTAGTCATTCTCAAGAGAACATTCACTACCGATGGAATGGATAAGTTCATTTTAAACGTTGTCTGTATATAGAATTGCAAACGACCTTGGAATAAATAGGACAAGGAAACGTATTGAGGGAATAGAAAAAGTCGTCGTAGGAAATATGAATTATCGACTCGTAGAAAAATTTTGGCCCACAAAACTAAGGATTCAAATTGCGAAACTAGAAATAGATCATTTCCAAAGATTTTCGGATTGGTATTAATTATAGATACTTAATTACTCTTGTTACTCCTTCTGGAGGAACATAGCCAGCCCACTAAGTATAGCTAAGTATAGGTTAATTCGGTTGTTGTTAGGTAATAGCTCCTTATTTATAAAATTTACCATACAAGAATAAAACGAAAGATTGGCATTTTATAAATCGGTACAACGATATATTAAGCCCTCTAATTACATTCAAATGTGTACTTCATAAATTCTTCTACGTCCAAAAGGCGTGGAACGATTAAACACTCTAATATGAGGTCGATAATTTATGTAATAAGTGTCATAGTGTAAAAGTAAAAATAGAATGTTTTTATTAAGTTTTTACAAAAAGGAATTCGAGCTAAATTTTAGATCGAAGACGGAGAACTACACGAAGCTGTATTTTTTGACGCCTACTTCAATATTTACACGAATAGAAATTGTATATACATTTAAATAAAACAAGTAGCATCTATATGATATTTATTTACTGATTAACAAGTCGCCTTCACTAATTTCGATGCAGACAATCGACAGCTAACTGGTATAACTTAAGAAATACTACAATAATCAAAATAATCTATATAATCATATAAAACAATGGTAATTTTTATCTAAATTTTTATCTAGATGTGCATTGATTAAGTCACTCGAATACTCAGTTATGATATGTTTATTATCATTTTTTAAAAACATATAGGTCATTAACTTGTTCTACGTGTACAAAAATCCAGAGAGAAATAGGGTAAAGGTATTGTCTTCATTAAATACAAATAAACAAGAAAGCTATTAAAATCGGTTATTTAATTGTAAATATGCAGTAATTAGAATCAAAAACATGCAATTCATCAATTACAAGTCGCATTGACAAGTTCAACAGAGAAATACATACAAATTTTTAAGGAGCAAAGTCGATTGTTATAAATAGTTCAAATTAGAAATATAAACTTTAAATCATTATGAATTAAAAATGCAGCGATCGTTATTACATGGTTTACATCATCTACGGAGTACGAGTGTATGTACTCAGATATTTAATTCACAATTTTTGTATAAGGACTGATGATGCTAATTAGCTGTCCAAACAAAAATAGGTAGAGTTGGATTCAGACTTACAATTTCTTGATTACAAAAACGGTTGTTTAAATTTCTAGGTAACCATTCCACTGATTACAATGAGAAATAAAGGAAATTGAATATAATTTTCACATAGACTTTAATTTCTAATGGGAGAAAGAGCATGTATATACTTGCTCATTCAATTAGTTAATTAATTTTGCAGTGAGCAGAACAATAAATTAAGAAATTTGCCATCTTTCCTACCCTGAAAGTTCTTCCGAAAGTGGCAATCGGATATGAAACTAAAAGCCCGGGTAAAGAACACATATTCGTCTGAATATAAGTCGGAATTTCTTTACATTAATTTACAAGATTCCATCGACATTTCTAGAGGTGATCGGAGAAAAAAAACAAGAGACAGAAAGATCTCTTTCACATCAATGAATGGTCAGTTTGAAAAACCATTATTTATTATTTCTTCAATAATTCGTGCAAAAATAATAAATTGTGATAATATCAATATCATGGGACACAATCAATTCTTTTTTGTAATACACTCATCCTTCTTTTTTATTAACTCACCTGATCTAATAGAGAATTTTTACGATCTAACAATTGTGAGATCAATTTACGATGTGTTATTTTCAACTGTATTTTATGCTTTTCTTGATATCTATAATTTTAAAAAAAGAGGATAAGAATTATAGAAATTTCTTAAGAAAACAGAAAACAAGTTATTATTAAGACAACAAGAGGAGGCATTGAACATATGAAGAAAACTGTAGTAGAGGTAGTACGAAGAAAAAGAAGAATATAACAAGGTATGTTTTGTACAGACTTATATAATTTTCATTAAGAACTGACATTCAATTATAGTTGGAAGGAACCAATGAAAAATGGGGAGAATCGAACAAATGGTTTGTCCAAGTATGGGACTTCTCAATGATGTGTATGAATCTACAACTACATAGACGTGATCGAACCCAATAAGTCATCATGAAGTTGAATCAAATGGTCAACATTTTGAACATCAACTAATTTTTTGATGTAGCCTAGCTCTTATCTAATGTAAAAGGTGGCACACCGTTGTACAACCAACTGTTTGTTTACTCTAAACACAGGTCAAAACATTCAACTGCTATAATATTAAAAAAATCATTTTGTACGAGTGCTAAAGAATACTGACCCTCATGAGAATATGGTGATTTATTTTACTTTCAATTATAGTGGTGCTTACTGGTGTCAAACTAGAACTAAACGGCTATTTAGTACACTTTTCAATGATTCTCTACCTAAATTTCATTCAATGAAGAGAATTATATTCAAAAATAAACTATGGCGGGATTATAATTATTGTTCCTAACGAAAAATAATAATAATAATGTTATGTTAATTAATAGAAATTATTATACGAAATTAGAAAAAAAAGTGGAAGAAATAATCAAATGAAAACTGTTAAAATTCACATTGATGTAGTACACTTAATCTGTTCTGAATTTATCATTAATATTGGACATGTATTAAAGTAACTATTGTATTCCTATCTTTGACTAACCTTAAAACAACTATTTAATTTTTACAATGAGAAGATAAATTTGAATACTATGCTTGATTGACAACATAGTAAAAATACAGTTAAGTTCGAAAGTACTGAAATGTATAATGTGTATCACTTTCTGAACAAAATACAGAGCACCACTAGGTTTGACCTTGAATGTTAGTATAGACACTAAGATGTAAATACATCCAAATGACGAGTATCATAAATGTTAAATGCTAGCCAGATTTGATTTAAAATAAGTTCAAGTCAATTGGTTGTACTTAATTACTTAAATGTAATGTTAATAATATTCTCAAGATTACTTCTGTTAAACGTTCTGGCAATGTCCTTTAATTTATAAACATAGTTCCCTTTATTATTTTAAAGAGAGTAGGAACAAAGGTTGGTGCAGAGTAATATGAATTCATTTTATTTCGTTAGGTTCTCATCAGCTGCTTACAACCTAAAATATTTGAAATTCAACGTTATTATAGATATTGACATACTTATACAACAGAGGGCGATGAAGGATGAATATATGTAACATAATGTGGTAAAGATTTCGTTAGAGTTAATGAGGTCATAAAATGTTGTTTCGAATATATAGAGTTTGGGAGGGAAGGTTCCAGAAAATTGAAATAGTGATTAGAAATCATGGAATTAAAACACATTAGACGATTATGTAATGAAGTAACTGAAGATAGATTAATGCTAATAAAGAGAGATATGAATTGAAATTGGTCAGTTATGAATGATGTAATTATAAAATTCAGAAAGAGTTGAAATGACGTAATAAAAATAAATAAAATAAAAGGGGGTGGGGTGAATGTTACCAGGGCAAAGAAAGATTTATTACTGTTTCTTTTTGTATACAAAGATCTGGTTTTAGACGTTTGATTGCTATTGCTTCCGCGAATTTCAAAAGGTTTGAATTTGATTGTTTGTTGGTCACCTTGAAGGACTTCAGTATATCGACTTCGTGTCCTGTGTCAAGGAGATGTCTTGCGACAGCGCTGCTAAATGCTTTTAGTCCGGTTGATCTCAAATTGTTCGGAATATGTTCTTTGAATCGGACGTAGGCTCTCCTTTCTGTTCTACCAATGTAACTGCTTTGGCAGATACATGTAAATTTGTATACACAGTTGGTGGTAACATGAAAGGGATACCTGTCGACCTTTGATTGTGTCAAAGAACATGTCGTTTTGGACAGGACAATCAATTTAGCTGCAGGATATGTTTTTGTCAGTGCAGTTTTTAGTCTCATATTGATTGACCCTGTGACATTATCGCCTTTGAACTTGAGTTGAATAAAAACAGGTTTTTTATTCACCGTAGTTTCTTTGGGTATTTTATCTTCACGTTTTCCATATTTCTCGATGAATTTCAATGGGTATCCGTTATTTCTTAAACACTTTTTAACATTCATAATTTCCTCTTCCATTGTATCCGCAGTACATATTCTTTCTGTTCTATGAAACAGTGTTTTGACAAGTGCTTTTTATAATTGATTGGACAAAAGCTGTTGAAATTGACATAAATACCATTCCATGTGTCTTTCTTATAAACTGAGCGTTGAACTGTGCCATCCTTTCTTCGTTTTATCGCTATATCGAGGAAATGGAACATGTTTTCTTTTTCATGTACCATAGTGAAATGAATATTTGGATGAGCTTTATTGAAAAACTTTAGAAGATTTGTTGCATGTTGTTGATTATTACATAAGATGAATGTATCATCAACATACCTCGAATAATACATCATTTCATCAATCGCTCCTTTGAGCTTGGTTCTTTCGAGGTTAGCCATGAAAATGTCTGCTAGGACGGGGCCTAACGGACTTCCCATTGCTACACCATCGGTTTGTCGGTATATAGTATTGTTGTTGGCATCCCTTTCATGTTACCACCAACTGTGTATACAAATTTACATGTATCTGCCAAAGCAGTTACATTGGTAGAACAGAAAGGAGAGCCTACGTCCGATTCAAAGAACATATTCCGAACAATTTGAGATCAACCGGACTAAAAGCATTTAGCAGCGCTGTCGCAAGACATCTCCTTGACACAGGACACGAAGTCGATATACTGAAGTCCTTCAAGGTGACCAACAAACAATCAAATTCAAACCTTTTGAAATTCGCGGAAGCAATAGCAATCAAACGTCTAAAACCAGATCTTTGTATACAAAAAGAAACAGTAATAAATCTTTCTTTGCCCTGGTAACATTCACCCCACCCCCTTTTATTTTATTTATTTTTATTACGTCATTTCAACTCTTTCTGAATTTTATAATTACATCATTCATAACTGACCAATTTCAATTCATATCTCTCTTTATTAGCATTAATCTATCTTCAGTTACTTCATTACATAATCGTCTAATGTGTTTTAATTCCATGATTTCTAATCACTATTTCAATTTTCTGGAACCTTCCCTCCCAAACTCTATATATTCGAAACAACATTTTATGACCTCATTAACTCTAACGAAATCTTTACCACATTATGTTACATATATTCATCCTTCATCGCCCTCTGTTGTATAAGTATGTCAATATCTATAATAACGTTGAATTTCAAATATTTTAGGTTGTAAGCAGCTGATGAGAACCTAACGAAATAAAATGAATTCATATTACTCTGCACCAACCTTTGTTCTTACTTCCTTTAATTTAGTCGAGATAATTTTGCTTTAAGTATCATAATATTTTATTTCACATAACAGTTTTCATTTCAGAAAATTTTAATAGCCAGAAGGATTTTGTAAAATTAAATTGACAAACGTAAAGAAATCGAGAATCTTATCAATACACTGTGACTTAAAGGTATACTTCAAATATAAAGCATATGTGCATATATACATATCTACACTTATAATCACAGCTGATTTACATATAAAAACCCATAACTATCGACTAAACATTTTCGGGAATATCGGATTTAAGATTATACGAATAAATTAACGCTGTGAAGGTTCAAACGATGGATTTTAAAAATGAAGAAGAAAATAATTTAATTATTTTTTGGTTAATCCATTTAAGGATGTCAATTTTAATTTGACAGACTACGAAACTGCCTTATCATACAATCTATTAGTATATAAATGACTAGATTTCTGAAAGTTAAGGCCTTTACTAAGAAGAAATGGAGCTAAACACACTGTTGTGAAAAAAAACAGAACCATTATCTATTTAGATAGCCACACAAGTAAATAATCCAAACACACGATCAAAAATAATAATAAATAAAAGTTCTAGCTTATTACAAAGAGAATGAAAATCTTGTATTTCGATAAGTTCTTAAAATTTGACGAAAATATGCTCAATGAACACATCAACAATATGTTGATCAAAATAACTACAAAGTTATCTAAGCAAACATTTAGTTATCTACTGGTACAAACTTGTTTGAAAGAACAAAACGAAACACTACACATTGAAAATACTTTGAAGCAATTTATAATATGGTTGCAAGATGTTATACTTACAGAGTTTATTTATATGAAACACAATCACATCAGTTGCCCACTACTTTAGTATCATGTGTACCCCATCTCTGAACTGTAGCTCATTATATAACTACTATAAACCTATTTGTCTTATTATATTAACTCCACATAATTTCAATTTTCACTACCCAACTCAATTTTTCGATTGTGTATATTATCTGCTACATTTTGATAGCACAAATCCGACTCAGTGGAATAAGAATAATATGTATACCAGAAAAGCTGAAAGTCGAATGTCCCATTCTATGTGAGATTGTAGGTGAAAACTAATAAATTTCAAACTAAGACGAAATATCTGTCTAATGATGCCTGATGTATATATATATATATATATATATATATATATATCAATTCATGGATCTTATCTAACGAAGAAACCAATTTAGATGTCACGAAAAACAAGTCAATAAAATCAAATATTTGTTAGGAATAGCTGTTTTTTCTGGAAAATTCAAGCCGAGATAGAAACAAACGACAGTGAAAAATCTCACCAATCATCAAACTAGCTCAACATCGGGATACATATCATATCTAGATAGACAAACATAGTACACAGAAAAAAACGTTTAGCATGGTTTCCATCCTAAAGCGAATTGAAATAATACAAGAAAAATAACCATGCTAACTTCAGAACTATAATCAACTAATGTCAGAAGAAATACAGGAAAGTATGGTAATCCTGGGAAATTAACACTATTTATCTCACAAAACGCTTCCAATCTGCTTATTTTTTTATCAGAAAGGGATTATTCGGGAAATCTCCAAGTAAGGTATACTTACGAACACATGAAAACTAATTAAACTATTTCACTTATCTAAATAAAAGAAAAACAATAAGGCATTTCATGTATACAAAAATAACTCCAAGTATGTGGTGCTAATTACTAAGCAGACATTAAAAATAACAATAATAATAAGCAAATTATCCGACACACAACTTACTTAATTAACAATTCAATAACTTGACCTAATGATAAAGGAATTTCAACGCCCGAATCAAGAACTAATGAATCTAATCCTTTAGAATGGCATACATAAGCAGCTGTGCCTAGAAGACGATTGAATTCTTCTTCAATTTGTTCATCAAGATCATGGTTTATTAAATGACCTTGTGAGTCATATAGCGAGCAATCGGTATTGATTGGAAGCAAATTTAATGATAATTGACGTACCAATATAGCTACAGGATTTGCAGCTAAAAGAGAAACGAGAAATACATTTATACTGACAAAATAATTGTTGGTATTATTACTAGTAGCAGATAATCCAAAATAAATGAAAGGCTAATCAAAGCACATGTCAGTTGGTTAATGAGGATTTGAAAAAAATACTTTCTTGTTGATCATGTATAACTAGCGATAAGAGGATTTTCTTTTCTTGGAAAATAAGATAGAATTGTTAGGTATACTCACTAAAAAAGGATTATCATCATTATTATTATTACTTCCGTAACTCATTAAATTTGCATTTAGTAAAATTTTCTATTTGTATCTATGCAAACTATCAAACAATTATAGAATTATTCTAATTAACTTAGTAATGAAGTGTTAGCAAATATATGTTAATTAATAAGTGAATCAGCAGTGACTTAGTGGCTAGATGATTTAACTATTAACAAATAAACTGTTGATTCGGGCCCGCACTTCACTTTGGTTCAAAATGCTTAAAGAAATTAAGAAATATGACTTAGGTATAAGTAAATATATATTTTTACATGATGATTACTGAGTTATTTTGATCAATTTAAGTGGTATAAATGAATAAAATATAATCTTTTTCTAATAATATTGGACGATCAACTTAGTTTACACCATACGTCATGTTTTATATCGATAATAATAATAATAGTGATAGTAGTATGGAAGTGAATAGTCAAAATTGTTTATACACTGACACAAAACTTTAAATCGAGCGGAACAGATAGACCAACCGGAATACTAATTCAAAAGGGATGTGAACTAAATTAACTTATTAGAAATTAGGTTAAATTTCCAATGTTCAGAAAATCAAATAACTTATGGTTTAAATCGAATTTAAGACAATTTTAAATTAAAAAATTATAATTAAATAATGATTAGTCGTTTATGTAGGAATCGCATAACTCGAACGATGGATATTGGTAAAAACTGAGGTATTAGTGTTTGTGACTAACTGATGAAATCTGTTTATTCACTGAGTTTTTTAGGGAGTTGTACAAGTCACCAACCAACAAACAGGCAATATTTTTTTGAAGAAATATGTCAGTTTCTGGATATATACGTTACACTGAATAAAATACAATTAAATACAGACCATGTTTCCATATATAACTAAATTTGACTAGTAATATTGTAGTGGGTGAACGCTTAGATGGGGAAGATCAATTTATTATTTGATACAGAACCACAATGCTTTCGTAAAGTATGAAAACCACACCTCAAATACATAATTTGCACATCTTCCATCAGTTGTCCTTTACATGCTTCATGATTCCTTCAATGTTGTTTTTATTCCAATTCCTTTCTGTTTCTCTTTCAGTTTTTTTCAGTTCAATCTCAACCCTCTTTTGACAGGTGTACCACTTTTGGTTAGCATTACATACTACTTATACGTCAACATAAGTAGCACACATCACAATATGACTACGAACAGAAAACCCAAACCAAGAGTTTCTTAGCAAGACTGGATTAACTCAAAAATATCTATCACATCTACATAAAGACTAGATAATTATTGGTAGCATCGACCATCAGTTCACTAGTTGACATCAGTCTATAAAAATCTGTTGATCCTGTTTGATGTAAACGATCATTGAAGTTTTGAGACAAATATATGACAGTTCGTCTAAGAAACATATTCTCCCAGATATTCGAACGGACATCATTAGATGTAGCATACAGAGACGTTGCCACTGTTGAGTTATTATCACCACAGATATAGAGTGAATGATACAGCATGTAGTAAAAATCAATCCTGAATAGACAACGATTCTATAAATTGGGAACAAATAAACACTGAATTAAAGCAAACTTAAGCAAGAACAAAATTTGACATATGTAGAGTTGTATACTCACATAAACCTGTGACAACCATGGCCCCAAGTTCAGCTTGATATCCACCTTTTCTACAAGTCCATATTCGACCTCCAACACGATCCTGAAGAATAAAAGTGATACTTAATTTGAAATATTGCTACGTTAAGAGTAATATCTAATTGTAAAACTGAATCCTCGAAATTTGTTACGACTACTGACGTAATCACATGTCATATAAAAAGAAATATTAAGTATATTCCATTGATATCAATTTTAACATGTAGAAAATGGGTGGCAAAAAAATCAAGTACATAATGAGATTATATCTTGGGATCATTATTACCATTAATGAAGAGGTTTTGAAGAGTACGTTTTAAACTATGGGTTGTATTTGTCATAGATTGACATTTAAAGTAACATTAAAAAAGCAGAATATAGCAACTTATGTTAACACTTATCTGCGACAGACTCTACTTCGATGATAACTGACTGACTGAGTAGCAACAACCTCACTAGGAATTGAACACTTACTAAAATTAAATATACTTATTCAACAGAAAACTGATCGCGTTAAAGAATATTGTAATTTTATAAAAGAAACAACAGGGAAAGTAGTTACTGAAACATACACGAGATTCTAAAATAGTAACTTTGGCACCAAAATAAGTCAGTTGTCTTGCTGCAATTAGGCCAGAAATACCAGCACCAATTATAATAAAATGAGGAGTTGTCAGTGACGTAGATGATGAACTAAGTGGTAATGTACTGGCAGAAGGAGAATTGTTAGCACGACGCGTTGCTGCTAGAGCTTTCTCAGCTGCAGCTCTTCTGGGTGTTAGTTGGACATCTGATTTGTCTAATATTTCCATAGGCGATCCTAGGAAAGTTGCAGTGGTAGCAGGATCAGCAGTACGAGATGAATTCACATGTGTTAAGGGTGGAGATATAATTTTAAATATGCCAAAGTTGATATATCCATATCTAGACGAAAAACCAATGAAAAAAGGTAAATCATCATTAGAAGTCAGTTGAGTTAATCAATTTGTCTTCACTGGTACATTATGTATTGGGTTAACGACTTGACATTTACCACATAATTAACCTATTGGTATTTTTTATGGCTACTTTCCACATTTAGTGACAAACATTGATGTTTATTATCACAATGCATCAGTTAGCTCGAAATTAAAACTATGGTCTAACTTATATACCATTAAACTCGCCATAAATACCTTATTTTATGAAGTTTAGGGTTCATCGATCTTCCGTAAAAATACTTCCTGTTTGTAGTAATCGGTTCGTCTTATCTTTGTTTCCACTAATGTCCCTAGAGGTCATCAGAACCTCCAAAGAAGCATAAATTACCATGTATTTTGGTAATCCCAGTAACGATAACAGAACAGCTCACAATATTTCCTCATTAATCGAACCTTATAAGACCTATTTACCAATGATTACTTATTTAATACAATTTAGGAATATAAAATGTATTAATTTATTCTTATTTTCTAATTATCATCTTAAAAAAATTCTTCAAAATCTCCAACATTTTCAGATACATATTAAAATAGCGATTTCCTCAAAACAAATGATATTATATTAAGCTAGCAGATGAGATTAAATTACCATATTTTTACGGACTGCAATCTATGGTACACCCTTTAGCACACGGTTGAAAATACATAGCCCTCTCAGCAAATACACTAAGTGGACAATGAAACTTTTCTTTAAAACGTGAGAATAATCCAAGAAGTTTATAAAATGGTAAGAAACATTTGTGGAAATAACACATTAAAGAAAATAGAGCCTCTCGACTGAGCCGATACATTTAGTAAGAGCCGTAAGGACTACGACGATGACACGAGGTCAAGATGACCATCCAATATCTGTGGTCTCTTGTGCTTAACGATTGTCGATTTGCAGTCCGATGGCTTTTGGTCAACTGGACTAGAGATAATTGTCTATGCATGTAATTTTGTTGAAACACCAAATGACGTAGCAACTAGATAGCCTAAATTCCATAGTCGTTCAGGGACGTTTGAAATAATGGAAACGAAAGTGGGACAAGTTTTTTGCCACAAAGGTGGAACAGCTTTAAGAGGATAAGTTTGTGTTTTAAATAGACTTTTCCCTAATTCATTTCACGCGTTTGTTTGAAAGAATACATAGATGACGATTAGTCTTATCGTACTAATGTGAATGTTTCAAAGAGTTTTAAGTTTTTAAAGAATGTTGAAAACTTTACATTTGAAGACTAATAACAAATTTAGAAGTTTCCATTAATCTTCCGAAAAAAAAACGATTTTCACAATTGATTGATCACTGGGTGGTGATCAATCTCATGCTTGTCTAGTCCTTATTAGTGCAGATCGAATGCTATCGATCATGTTGCAATGTGGCCACCAGTCTAGGTGACTCGACACTGCGGGCACTATGTATTGAGATTAGATTACAGGTACACCTTGCTGACGAGTGCCAAGTAGCACGAAACCCGGGTCCAGGGTTTCCTGTTGACTACCTCCAACCACCATCTAATCTCAAAAAACGATTTTCCTCCAATGGACAATACAAGCCTTTTAGGTTAACAGAACTAAAGGAGGACGTTGAACATTTATTGTATATTATTTATCAGTTAAAATTCATACCAATGTGAAGGTAAAACCCAAAAATCACTTTGTTAATTTAGTGGCATTCAGCATAATGAGGAATGCGATCGGATAGGCTTTTAAATACTATTTAATTTTGTAAACTACCAGTCTACCATTTTTCTGACGCGGGATTACTTTTTAAATGTTTTCAAGCAGTTTATACTTCTATACCACCAATGTAAGAAACGTACTTCATCCTAAAGCCCGGTTTTAGCTAACAACAAACTTAGATTATATAAGTGTTATTTTAAATTTAGTGCATTTGTGGTTCAACTAAAAGATTATGTGATACTTATCGCCGGTTCTACATTGTCACTGACTGACTGACTATCGCCGGTACACTAACAGGCCTGTTGACACTTCTGAGTTGAGTCAAGTTAAATATTTACTTATTTTTGTCCTGGTAGCCTCATGAACAATATCTTGTCACATATCACACTAGTTAAGTCGGATATGAACAATAAACTAATTTGCATGGCTAGTACGGTACGCGAGATTTATATATAGTCAGGGGATTTAATTGACGTGAAACACGGTTAGATAAGGTCTGAGTAAGATTCAGGGAAAAATTTAAAGTTACTACATGAACTATGATCAGGAGTCGAGAAGTAACTTAAAACATAGTTTAAAGGAATTACTGGTAAGAGCATAAATAAAGACGAAATGGGTTTTAAAGGATAAAAAGATACCTCTCACCTTTCCAAGAACAAAACAACTAAATAAGTCATCCGTTCCAAATTTGCTTTTGCAGTAGGCGTACCCCAGGGTGAGTAATTACTTGGGAGAGTTAAACTTGTTAGATGGCGTTGAAGAGATCGAGAAAGCTCTTTGCTATGTCTGACACGACCGACACCAGAAATGTTTTCCTCACAAACAGAAGAAGCAGACGAGTTGGATCCTTGGTGTACTGGTAAAGGAGCAGTCAATCCAGAATCGATCATCACCCGGAGATTCTCGACTGACATATTATTCATCACGTATATGAACAGCCTATTAGGCGTAACCTGTGTACACGAGTCTTCTGACCACATTAAACACTGCAAAAGAATTTATTGTACAAAACAATTTCCAGCATAGACATAATTATTATTTAATTTCCAATATACGACTAAATACCAATCCACAGAAAAATCACAGAAAATCTGAACCGGAATTTACCACCTAGAAAACATTATACTATGTTATCATTTTAAAAATTTGGTGTCATTTCCCAGTCAGGACATAAGATATGAAATCTTATTAGGCTTTAGAAGAGTAAAACTTAGTACGCATTGTAAACAAGGAAATTACTCAGAAGGTTACCGTAGTTATGATGTCTTTTTAGTCACATAAAGATATGACCAAGACGTGATTCAAAATACAAATTAACACGTTAAATAGAGAACGCCTTGACGAATAAAGCTTCCAAGTCACAAAAACGTACTACATCATAGTATTAGAACGCTGTCCAGGCAGCAAAATTTGTGATGCATAACTGCAGATCACCACCTCGATTCCTGACAGCCTAGTGTTACAGATAAGGAATAAAAACATCTCTCGCTACGAAGATATAAACATGTGACGAAGTGGTTTAACCACTAACAATTCACAATAGCACTTGAAACGATAATAATAGCTGTGAGAAAGTTTGTAATGTGTAACTAAACTAAGAAGGGGGTGTAAGTGTGTACGATACCTTCAGTAATCAGAACTTGCGATTTCTAGGACCGAAATCTAATAGTCAAAATCTTGAATAACAGACTGGTATGTACGAAAATGATACCCCTGAAGTATATCCGGACTTCAAAAAATTGGGTCCCCGGCTGTTTTGTAATGACGGAGGATTTACATTTAATTATAAAAACGATTGAAAAAATGGTACCGGCACATAACCATTGTAAATATAAAAAATGGAAAACCGATACCCCAGTTCTTTCAATATGTTAGGAAATATAACCGCACTGTTGGTTTGAATATTATATATATACAGTGATGAGACGCATTCTAAGTATTTATATTTGAGCAATCACATCAGATATGTAGCATTTAAAGAGATAGCTCCCAAAGTATAGGAAATGGCCTACTAGTTCATGTTTTAAGATTAGGCAGAGTGAATATTTAAACCAGATTTGCAATATTTTTACGCTAAAGAATTAAAATGCACGTCGCCATTGTGACTTTCACTAAGTTTCTAAAAACAGGAACTGTTGTATCACTAATCCTAAATTATGATAGGCAAATTGATAAGGGAAATCCATCTCATCGAAGTTCTTTAAGAAGACATGTGAGAAAGGTTTACAATGGTCAGGGATGGAAACGAAACAATAAACTGGAAAGTTAGGGTTTTGTAACGTACATATACAATTAACCACTCTTAAAAAGACAATCAAATAGTATCAGACAAAAATATGAAAAGAACTGAATATGTTTATGCTAAACTCAATTTAGGAAAATAACTACTAGAGGAATCGATCTAAAAATATAAACCCACTTGTATTTGAGAAACGTAGGATAAGCTTTCAAGCATCGAACTTTCTGTGATAATAAAATGAGAACATAAAACTTATTTTTATCACAAGATAAAGATGTACACAATTCTGCCATTATGCTCCGATCTTAAATGTTTTCAATGTTTCGAAGGATAAAAAACAGAGGCTATTCCAAGACTCGTTATTTGCAAAATAAGTTATTGTAAGCATTTCCATGTAAAACTTACTGCAAGATTTCGGACAGCAATATATGACTCCTTTAAAGAATTTGAAGAACTTTCTAAAAAAGGGAACATTTGAGTTTCTTCTGTACAAAGTTCTTTTGCAGGAAGGCGACAAATTTGCGAGGCTTTCTCAGCAGGCGTCAGAGTATCTTCAGGTTCTTCTTCAACAGGTTCATCCTCCGCACTTTCACTTTCAGCATCATCCACATCAATATCACCCTCGACCAGACGCCTCCCGGTGGTATTGTTTTCTAACTCAGAATCTTCAAGCTCGTCATCGTCTTCATAAACCTCTACCCCACATTCATCTGACTTTTTGCTGGGGCTAGATTTAGGTGGATTCAATTTTGGTGCTTTGGTTTCGTCAAGTTCGTTCATCTCTTCCTGCAATTTAAGCAAACACGTTTTGCAAGAAATTAATTCAACACCAGCCATGGACAGCTATAAGATGGTGCAGAAAATTCGTACAGTTATTGAGCCTATCTTGCAGATCTTAAATCAACGTACGTCACTCCAAGTATATATATATATATATATATATATAATTTTACTTCACACTTCGTAGTTTCACTACGATACAAAATACACATTCGTAAACCTAAGTAACGAACTACGAATGACACGAGGCGGCGAATACTTATAGCAATCAAAACCATAAAGCTGAAACTTCAAATAAAAAATAAACCCTCCAGATCTGGGAAAAATGAAGCCATGTTAACCTCAAAGATTGCCTTCGTGTTACACTGCATATGGACTACAACGCTCACCCCTTCAAGAAAGTAATAAGACCCGGATGCACCCAGAAAGTCAAAAATTAAATCAAATTACAACGTAGAGATGCAGCTAAAGAATTTGCTGAAGACGAAAAGCACTACGATCTGGAATAGAAACAAAAATAATTACATCTTTATTTGTGGCAGCACATTCAGCATGGCTTGGAACAAGCATTGTTTGGACCGGCGCATGAGATGGGCGGAAGCCTCGTTTAACACTGCGACCTCGAGGCATGTCTTTGAAAACTGGTTTCACTGAAGTTACGGAACGACCTTCAAAGTGAAAACGTTCAAATTGGCGAACTAATGACAATCATTTAAACTAAATTGCACAATTACAGACGTGTGAAATCAACATTTACGCATTATTTGCTTGAAGCATGGACTGAGTTTAGCTCTTGCATTTTTCCTGAAAGGCGTTTTGGACCAATTACCACTCAGTTCCCCAATCTAAAAATAGAGTCTTCATTTTGTGCTAAACAAGTCTTCGGTTTTCAGTAATAAGGATAGATCTATCAACCCATATTATTCATTGCAGTTTCTACCACTGTTGAGGCTCGATCGCGTTTTGAACATATCAAGAGAAGGTGCTGATGTTACATGTTCTGGTAGATAATTTCAGTAATTCAATACTCGGTGCAAGAACGAAACTCCAGACATAGACGATTCGATCTCGGTTTTTGATTTTTCTTCGAACGTCCTCTCAAACGATCAGTCCTAGATGGAAAGATGACTCATATTAATATCAACTTTATCGTTCAGTATACGATAAACCAATATTAGATCACCCCATATTCTACGGTAAGATAACGGAAATAAGTTATGGTGTCTCAGTCTCTCTTCATGAGATAGGCCAGATAGACCTTTTACCATTTTTGGTCCCTCGTCGTTGAACTCGTTTTAGAACATCCGTCTCATACTTGAAACAAGGACTCGCTGCTTGAATCCCATACTCTAAATGTGGTCGCACGAAAACCTAGTATGACAATCTAAACATTTCTTCATCCTAATACGGGAAAGACTTACGAATAGACCTAATACTCTATGGCCTTTTGCAGCGGCAGCTTTGCAGTGACTGGTAGTTTTGAGACCACTGCTTACTATGACTCCTAAATCTTTATAACTTTTTACTATGGGTAATATGAATCCACATATTGTGTAGTGATACGAAACATCATAGTTATTTCATTGCATCGCCACATTCTTATAGGATTTACCTCTAGTGACCACCTGTCCATCCATGCCACCAACGGGTCGAGATCATCCTGTAATACAATTTTGCCTGACATGCTGCGTATGGGTCTTCAAATTTTCGTGTCATCGGGAAAGGGTGAAACGGATGATTTTGCTATAGTTGGTAGTCTATATACAAAAAGTAAAAAGATGTGGTGTTTGAATGAACTAAGGATAACTTTGTACTTCTTGAATGCTTGATTTGGAATTCTAAACCCAGTACATTCGTTTGTCCATATATAGTACTTCATGATCCGATTACGTCATTTCTGGGATTCTTGGTGCATACTATAATTCAAATACTCCAGATTATCACAAAAGAGAAAGGAACCAAGGACTGTGCCTCGGTAAACTCCATTTTTTAAGATTTTTACAACGAGAGAGCTCCATTAACCCTTATCCTTTGTCTTGTAGTGACTCAATTTCATCACGAGAACACGACTGGTTTAATAAAAACAATTATTATTATAACCAACTGTACCAGTGTTTGTTTTAATGTGCTTTTGTTTGACTGTGCTAATGACAGCTATATTGTGCTTCCATTCTTAAACATACACTTTGATTGTGACTTCGCGCGAATTCGGTGACATTCTGTAACCAAGGTTGTATCATGGCACTATCTCGGTATCCTAACGATACCACGCGATCGCCAGCAAATATATCTCGACTTAGTCCATTAACTGCCTTCTGATATTTGGCTTCTCGGGGATTTTATGGATCTATTTGGTTACGTTCAACCTTCGCCTTCTGATTTACTTGGCACGTGTTTCTTTGTAGCGGTGTTCATGGTTAATCCCAACCCGACGCCACGCTACAGTCTTTTGTCATGGAGAATGTTAATTATCCAATCTACGAATGTATAAAGGATTCCAAAACATTCCAGTTTTTATTGAAGACCAGAATTGGAGACCTTATCGAAAGCTTTGTTTAGATCTTTGATAACCATTTGTACAGTAATATTACGATCTTTCACCGCAATGAGAAGATTTGTCAAACATAACAGGTCTCTCCGAAAACTATGTTGCTCCCTGGATAAAAGATTATGCTCTTTCACATAGTTTATAACAGCTATCCGAATACTTTTCTACATTTCTTTTACAACTGCACTAGTTAGGCTGATGTCGATAATTATCAACTCAATCTCTACTCTCTGCCTTATACACCGGACTAATTATGGCGCCTTTCCAGTCCCTGGGAAGTCTGGACTGCCACAGAGACATATCAAACAGTATGGCTATAGGTTCAGCAATTATATCTGAAACGGCTTTCATAATGCAAGAATGGATACCATTAGGACGACTGGACTTATCGAGTTCAAGCTGCTGAAGTAGTCTTAAGACAGTGCCTTTCTCAGTAACTACAGATTCTATCAACAAGCCGCCACAATCACAATGAATCGTTGGTCGTTCCTCATTACTGATGGAAAACACTACTGAAATAATCAAATGAGGCTTCAGCTTGTTCGGTATCATTTCTTGCCAATATTAACGAATTTTCATGTATCAAACGTGATGGGATTCCATCGCTTTTCTGAGTTCGTTTTATGTACGAGTATAAACGTTCCGGATTATATTTACAATCCCTAACCTACTGTTTTTCATATGACAATCTAGTCTTACTTATTAACGCTTAACAAGCACTCCTAATTTTACAATAACTGGATCTGTACTTTTCTAAGCCAGTGGAGATGAACATATTCCAGCGCTTTTTCCCACGTCTAAGAAGTCTCTTGACTTGTCTACGTTGTACCAAGTATGGTATGAACGAGGACGTAACTGAACTAAACTTGGCTTTAAATACAAACCATGCTTCTTTAACAGGTGAGCTAGTATCTACTGACCAATTTGTCATAGCAGCACACTCCTGAATGGCTGATAAACACCACTTGAATTTTGCGAACAGCATAAATGTTCTGGTGAGCAAAGAACCTCTTCTGCAACTTCTTCATTCTAATTATAAATTTGTAGGGAATTTAATCTCTTTCCAAACGGAACGATTAAATCTGAAAGTGTTTTGCAGATTACGATACAGAAAATGTAAATTGGTGTTAACATCGCTGGAACAAAAGACAAATCCCAACTAAGAACATGCAGTAGAATTTCAAAATACGGTCAGTCGGTGTTTGAATAGATCCTGAAAGAAACCAAAGTGATTTTTTTCCTACTGAAGTGCATGAGCGTTTTTCCGCAATTTGTTGGCAGGCTTCTATTGTGTGATCACTGCTTGGGAATCGAAGACTATTATACTCTTTGTTTGAAAGAGCGTTGTGTAGACAACGTAAGTCCAATAGGCCAGCTTCTTCGATGGGCTTAATGAATGTCTGTGTCCAATTTTTGTTTCTTGTACTTCGGAGATTATTTTAAAGTGAGTAAAACCATGTAACGGGTTCTGGCCAACATATGGCCTATTGAAATCGCCACCTATTCAGTTAGTTAGAGGTTGGATGGGAACATCAGTCATGAGGCTAAGAGAGATCTAAGTTGTCAAGGCGGGTTTCAGATTGATAGTTTTGGCATGAATATTCGCATAGTCGTCCGTACGAGTCTCAGTTACTAATAAAAAATTACGTTGGTGTCTAGTTACAAATTATCATGATTTCTTAAGCACTAGGATCTTTTTAAATATCGAAAGATTGTTAGTGAAGCAGGTCTCTTTGAAGCACTAGAGAAATCAAGAAGTATACGGAGGGATTCACTTTTGTTTACTTTTCACAATCTCCAACATACGTATCAATTATTGGTTAGTTCGAAATTTTGTAGATATGTTTTTGACAAACACCGTGTTTGCACCATCGAGCATGTTGACATCATTGTTTTACACATGCACTGAAGTCTACTGGAGCCTCTGACTTCATTTCACTTTAACAAGAAATAATATGGATTTAATCTAATTTACTATACCTCTGTCTGTTTTACTTCAAAATGTTAAGCAACGTTTGGCGTTCATATCCAAGTGCCTTGCTGCTCTTCTGTTTCTCATTTTTTCAAAATCTTGCTCTGAAAGCACAGCAATGGAACTTCTGACGTCTGGAACGAACTTGACGTACGCGTCTCCTCAACCTCATAGTTTACAGCAAGCGCTCTACGAGTCTACTTTATAACAAGTATAAACTTAATAAGTTGGGAAGCATGCTGTGCGCCAACAAATGTTGTTGCTGTAAACTATGAGGTTGAGGAGACGCGTACGTCAAGTTCGTTCCAGACGTCAGAAGTTCCATAGCTGTGCCCTCAGAGCAAGATTTTGAAAAAATGAGAAACAGAAGAGCAGCAAGGCACTTGGATATGAACGCCAAACGTTGCTTAACATTTTGAAGTAAAACAGACAGAGGTATAGTAAATTAGATTAAATCCATATTATTTCTTGTTAAAGTGAAATGAAGTCAGAAGCTCCATATAAAAGGATGTAGTAATAAAGAACAATGAGTCGTGATGTTTAACAAGTTGGAGTGAGCTCACATGAAGGAAGGGAAGTCAAGGTTGGTACACGGAAGGCGGTTTATTAGAAGGGAGTATGCATGTAGAGAGTTGAAGTGTTAAGAATACTAATAACTATATCTTTTATTGTCTATTTTTTTCTTCCTTTTCTTTTTTGTCCATCCGATGCCAGTCACACAATCCTAGTGTAAAATTCCGAGTTAGCATGTTATAGGTTGTCTTAGTAGAATAGCTAATCCAACATAAAATTGGAAACATGAGTCTGAATGGTGAATGTAGGAAGACAATCTATATTACAGATTGGTTGACTTATTCTCAATCATAAAGAGTCTGATACATACAAAATTTTCTGCCCCACAAACACGTGTGGATTGAAGTCATCGCCCTCGCCATCAGTGCCTACTGATCAGTAGCTCCACCCTCCCTCCTTTTGTGATGTTAGGCTCACTTAAACTTAATTTTGGATATACGTCATACCTCACACAATCCTCTGTGTTTCACATCCTGCTACTTACTTGCTTACTTACTTACTCACGCTTGTTACTCCTGTAAGATCCATTTTGAATGCTTTGTGTGTCTGTGAAAATCCCTCCATGTATTTACTTGCACTTTGTTCCTATTGATCCCCTT